TATTGTAATTATCCTTAAATATAGAGTAAAATTATATATTTTTTCAGGGCCGGGTCGGATTTTTTACCCTAAACCCAAAATCGACCCGACCCGAACAACACATAAAAAAAACCCGACCGAACCTAATTTTTTTTTATAAAAACCCGACCCATCGGTCGGGTCGAAACCCGTCAGTTTCAGGTCACATGCCCATCCTAATTTCGATCACCATTCGTAAAATATTTAACGATGACCGTAATGAATATTTTTTTATTTTAATATTATTTTCTATCTTTTAATCAGGAACGACATGTTAATAATTTTATTTGAACCAATTAGAGAGTAACACATGTCAATTGATTCGAATAAAATAAAAAAAATAAATTGATCATATTCAAGGGGTCCCTGGTTTGATTCTATTCCTCCCCAAATATACAAATTTATTTTCTTTGATTTTTTGGATTAATTAGATATTGACAGTGTTGTCATCTAATAAAAATGGCCCGGTCCAATACTAATATGGAAAGAAAAATGACATGGAAAATTAAAAAAAATCAACATTAACGTCATAATTAAATATTTAACTTTAATAAAAAAATGATATTGGTGATGCTTTTTATAAAAGAAATAATTTGATAATTAAAATGAAAAAATATATTGATGACAACATACTATATTTTGCCCTAAAAAAGAAAATGATTATCACTTTAATTTCCACTGAAAATGGGTACCCAAAGTAAAGCAAACCAATTTGGGACATCATATAGTTCAAGATAATATATAAAAGTTGGTGCCACAATTTTAATAAAAAAAGTAAATATTGCCATTTGGTCACTTTATTCTATTGTAATTTTCTTTCATATATGTTAAGTTTTTTGAAAAATATATTTATAAAAACAATCAAATATTATTATTTATAATTATAATTAAACTAATAATTAAAATATATTTAAATTTAGACTATATAAAACCCGAATATGGATAGATTAAAAGAGTATCGCGACGATTATATTTCTCAAAAAATTTAAATTTAAATATGCAATAAATACGAACCAGTTAGTCTAGCGTGATGACAATCCCGGAAGTATAATTTTGGAGGCCTTTGAATGGATAAGTTGGCTATAAATCAAAGAGTGTCCTATTGCTTTCCTTGTCATTGCAAATCTCCATTCCCATATCTTATTGACTCTATTGGCTGTTAAAAGTTGCAAAATTGTCACTGACTATTCATTATATTTCAAATTCATCATTTTTTGTTAAAAATTAACGGTCATCTGAGTTGAACGTTAACTTGTTGACTGAGATATGATAGTTGTTTGAGATTATGAGATCAGATTTTATCATATCTCAATCAGCAGGTTAACGTACAAGTCAGATTGACATCAAATTTTTAACAGAAATGACGAGTTTAGAACATGATGAATAATCGGGTGATCATTTTGTAACTTTTAATCGTCAATTGACTAAACAAAGTAACTTACTATAGTTAGAGGACCATTTTGTAACTTTTAATAATTGAGGGACTTAGTAAAATAATATCTTATAGTCATAGTATATTTATGCACTTTATCCTATAATAAACTCAATCATATATATAGATTAGATATATAGTTTAATGACCAGCAATTAAGAGCTAATGTGAATTGACTACAAAAAAAAAAAATTAAAGATTCTCAAGACTTTCAAAAGAATCAACTAAATCTGTACGAAACTTTTTTTTAATTAAATCATAATCATTAAAATATTAACTTCAACTCACATGACTCTATGTAGGGATGGTAGACTGGTATAATTTCATAGGTTTCACATTATATCCGCTTTAATTGGGATGGGGACATATATTTAGGGAGTAGTGGGCGGGTGTGGATGTAAAATGTCATACCCACAGTGGGTAGTGGGTAGTAGGTAGCTGATGGTTTGAGACCTTACCCGCCCTGCATCCACTTACCCTACATCCGCCCGACCACTAACTACTCACCATATAAATATTAAACCATTATAAATTTAGATATAATTTTAGAGACTATTATGTAAATCTTAAGATTTTATAGGACATTACTTGTAATATAACCTAATATTAGGGTATAAACATTTTTAGAATTGAAGACGGTTGTTTTAATTGAAATTATTAATAATCTAGTAATTTTTAATTTAATAATATTTTTTTGATGATTTAATAATTTAATAATAATTCTTAAATATTGACATTTTTTAAAATTACTTGAATTTGGATAAATTTAATAGAACGTGTAGGTTTTAGGACAAATTATTATTATTATTATTTCATATCACGTCATCATTTTTATTAAGTCAACTTCTAAACTTAACGACTAGTATCAAAATAAAAAATACAACGTTAGATAAGACTTTAAAAAATAATTAGGTAACTAAAACAACAAGATGATAGTAGGGTACCAAATAAGTAGTTTACCTAAATTTTATAAAATCCGTTAAATTGTAAAACAAATACGAAAAATATAAAATATTTTTAAAAATTTAATAATTAAGTATTTAATTTAAATTCACGTGCTTTAATTTTTGAAAATATATTACATATTATTGTGATATGCATGCATTATCCACATGCAACTTTTTCAATGGGGGTGGTGATCGTTTCAACTTTTTAAAGTGATAAAATATGCATCCCAAATTTGATCATTGAATATTCGATTAAATATATAAAATAAAAAATGAAAGAAAAAAAAGAGAAATGAAGAAATAACCTGTAATCCAAGAAATCCAGGCAGAGTCATGGCTTGAAGAAAGAGACACCGAGATTTGCTCAGGCTCCCAGCCCGTGACAGTCCTCTGAATCCGAGGATCGTCGTCGGGTAAATCGACGGAGTGTCCTCGGAAACTCTCATCGAGAGGGACTGTCACGGGCTTGAAAGGTCCATCAACTGTACTCGGGATCGCTTTCCCATTAACAAAGCTTATGCTTTGCATTACAACCGAAACAAATACTGCAACGATGAATAAAGGAACCAACCCCATATCTCAAACCTCAAGAAACAAAGGAAGGAGGTGACAACTATATATAATATATATTATATATGTTAAGATTAAGAAAGGAAAATAATCGGAGCGAAATCAACGTGACAATATACGGTGCAATGAAGCTGCAAGTTTCCTGTGGCTGTATATATAGGAGCGTTTTGGAGCTCATCATATGGAAAATACGTAGTGCCGTTGAAAAGGAAGGCAAAGGATGCTGAAAAGGAAACTGTTTTTGCATTGAGTAACCAAGATTAATGGATTAATATTGGATTAAACCTAGGGATGCTCAAAATATTATAACCCTACGGGTTTCGATCCGACCTGATCCTATAGAGATAATTTTTTTATAGTTCGGGGCTCGAGCGAGGCTGACTATATGATATAAAATTTCGGGATTAGGCGAGGATAGGTTTAAGGTGAAAAATATGGACCCGACCCGGCCTGATTAATTTATATATTATATTTAAAAAAAATTAAAAATTATTACAAAATATATTAATTTAACCATTTAAAATATAATAATAATTATAAATATATTTATTTTAATTATTTAAAATATTAATAAATTCAGATCGAGGTGGGTCGGGGTTTTAGTCTAAAAACCAGGACAGGTCCGGGGCGGGAGAAAACCTAAAATTCATCGGGGTGGGGTGGCCAAAAAATCGGCCCGTTTTAATAATTACGATAATAAAGGTAATATCTTTTCTGAATCTTTATAAATTATTGATAACATATAATATACAGATATAGTTGTTTAAAAATCGAAGACCTCTAAAATAATAATACTCCTTCTAACCATTCAACGAGATTATAATCTAATTTTTTAAAATAATATTTGGAGTTGGATTTCAAATGATTAGTTTTTCTTACGTAACGGAACTACCTTTCTTTATCGAAAAGGGGAGTGAGATGCGCATCTTTTCCAGGTATAATGCTTTTTATATCTTGTTCAGCATTAATCAGTTTATTGAATTTCGTCCTTTACTTTGAAGTATTAGACAAACAACTCACTGTCTTGACTTTCGATTCTCCTTTGGCTTATTGTTATGATTCCTTCTCACAAGCAATCTAGCATTTCATCAAAGAAACGACATTGGAATTGTAGGTGATATTACTCTTAGTAAGCTAATTGACAATTTAATCAAAGAAATGACATGTACAAATAAAACAAATGTTTGACACCTCAATGTTTTAATCAATAGACATGTCCGATAAAATCAACCAAGGCTTGACACGTCAATGTTTTAATCAAAATATGGTTTAGTGGGATGATATTATTGTCGTAATCGTCATTCGGGTGGGTCTGGAATCGGGCTTCGACTTAATTTTGATGTGTTAGAGCCGCCACCGATTATTTGAGATTAGGTTGACTGGATACCTTGACTTACCATTTACCTGATATGCGTTTTGCCAGAAATTAATCGGATTCGGGAGTCGATTACAGTCAAGGAATGATTAGCACCCTTGTATTACCCTTTCGGTACCAATTAAATTTTCAGTTGTCTTAATTGCGAAAATTAAAAGTCAAATTAAAATTTAAAAATTTGATCCGAATTACTTACTTTTGGCAGATTTAAAATTGTCCTAAAAAAAAAAACCAAGTTAACATTAGATAATAGAATAAAATACAATAAAATAAAAATTCAATAAATAAAAGAAGAAAATTTTAAATTAAAAGGATTAAATTGCAAGAAAATAAAAAATCAAGGGTTAAATTGATATAAATTGAAAGCTGTAACGGAAAAAAGAAAAAAAAAAATGAAGGGGTTAGATTTACAAAAAATAAAAATATAGAGAATTAGCTGCTCATCAAACCATGCCTCTGAAATATAGAGAATTAGCCGCTCAGGGTTTTCTCCATCAACGTGATCAATCTCATGCTTGTGCTTAAGGAACCGCACCTCCTGTTCGTAATCTCTTATTCCCCTAGCAAACTCACCGCGCAAGTTCTCCAACAGAAACCGTGCTTTTCTCTCCCTTTCAAGTTCTTTCAAAGCATTAGCAAAAGATGATCTCACCTCCAGTTATCGAGCTAGCTTTCGGTGCATGCTTTCCGAGCGCTTTCTTAACCTCCTCTCCTTTCCAAGCGTTGAAATTCCAGTGGTATTACCGAAACGAGGAGTGGTCTGAGCAGTAGAAAACTTAAATTCCTTGTCAGCGGAACGCCATTCGAAATCATGAACATTTTTGTGATTTGGTGTGGATGATCGAACAGCACACGGAAGAAGCGATGATGTTGTCTGGTATGGCAATTCATCCCCGCATTTTGATAATGCATTGAGGTTGAACCTACGCGACCTTGATCTTGTCTTCAATGTATCGACTTCGACAATTTTGGGGCTGTCATCACATGCATTGGTTTCCATTGATGCAAACAGTCTATTGCTGTGAATTTCACTTCTTGGTTCATCAAATCGTTCCTGAAAACGAAAAAGAACATCAATATAACCAAATATTGAGTGACGAAAACAGATCGACAAGTGGTGCTTGCAAAGGATTCACGTTCCTGTTTTCGAGACAATACAAGTTCTCCTTGTTGAAGGAGCGACGAATCCGCTGAGAACGAACTGATGTTTGTGCTCTTAGAAGAGCATGCATACTGTGCAAAGTTGCGATAGCCCTCTTTCTTACAAGATAGCCTCTAACCAGAACTTGTAATCGAATCAGCCCTCTCAAAGCTATAAGTGCTTTCCGAGACTGAGAACAATAGGATGGGTTTGTAACTACAGTTTTTTTACTCCCTATGTATATATTGCTTGGGTTTTTGTATTTGATTAAATTTTTGTTGAAGAAGAAGAGTTGAGGGAGGTACATGCCACGTCAGCCCTAACTAACAAAAGGTAACACCATGGATCTTACTGAAAACGAACTAAAAATTCGATGATTGTGTTGTAAATTTTAAAAGTTGGCTGACCAAAATGCAAAAGCTCTAAAAGTTTAGGGACTATTTATAAATTTACCCTTATAATTAAAACTTCATCACTTTAAAATAACTTAAAATTGTTTTAATCTGTTGATTACATGACAATTAAACGTCTTTTTTAATTCTATTATTGAATTAAAAATATGAAATGCCAAAATGAAAATATTCATTTCCCCATTGGTCCTTCACCTCCACTCTATCACGGCTCTGTCACTCTAGTTTTCGTTTCCTCCTCCACTCTCCACGAAGCCCTCGAAACTCAAAACGTTCTTCGACTTTAAACAAATCCCTATTTTATTCACAAATTTCTCGAATTTTAAATAAATAAATTCATTGATTTTGATTTCCCGAAGATCAATCTTGATTCCAATCTTGAAATGGTGAGGAAGCGAGTACCTGATTGGCTCAACAGTTCGCTCTGGTCCGCGACTCCCGCCGACGATCGCCTCAACCGCTACTCTCCTTCTCCCACCACCGCTTCCGGCGCCTTTTCCGAGTCAACTCTTCAGCCTCCGGCGCCAGTGGCACCTCCTCCCGCCGCAGCCGCAGCCTCGAAACCTCAGTCCACGCCTACTCCGAAATCCGAAACCAGAGATCCAGTTAATCAAAATAGTGACACCAATAGCGGTGGTAATGATCAAAACGGCGGCTCTTCTGGCGCTTCTCCCGATGATATCTCCCGTCAGGCTCAGCTCTTATCCGAGGTTTTTAACTTATCCTCCTTTGCTAACTGATTCTCTTCTTTTTGCTCTTATTTTTGTCCTTTTTTGTTTCTAATTTCCAATTTATTTCCAGTTGTCTAAGAAGGTTATGAATATGTGGGAATTGCGGAGGATTGCGTCGCAGGGGTTTCCTGATGGTGCAGGAATTAGATCTACTGTGTGGAAGGTAGGGTTTTTTTTCCCATTTCCCTTTTTTTTCTGTTTGCTTGCTGAGAAATCTGAAAAATGCAGAAATTACATGGAAAATGTGATTATCTTCTCGATTAATAGTGAATACGAGTTGTTTTGTTATTGTGGCAGTTATTGTTAGGGTATTTACCACCTGAACGTGGGCAATGGTCGTCTGAATTAGCTAAGAAAAGGTCTCAGTACAGTCATTTTAAGGAAGAACTCTTGATGAATCCTGTAAGTCATTTTCTTTAATTTTTGTTTGATAAAATAGTGTATATGACCAAGTATCAAACCATGACATTCATTTTGTGGCTGTCTAGTGCCAGTAATATGATATTATTAGTTGCTTTGATTAATTCTAATGTAAATTTCAACAGCATCTATAATGAAGTGGGTAAGAAATTAAAAGAAAAAATGATATAAGCAGAGAGCTAGAACATGCAACTGAATATTTTAATGAGAAAGTGAAGTTTAGCCATCTCTTGCTGGCTGTTGTTTTCTCTCCTAATAATGAATGGCTTTGCTCTAGTTAATTTATCATCCTGAAAAGTAGTGTTATCTTTTGCGGTCATCGTCTTTCACTTCCTTCTTTTCTGTAAGAATTTTGGAGTTTCTGAATGTTTCTGTGGCTAGTCAGTCAGAAATCACAAGGAGGCTGGGGAAGTCTGTGACGTGTGACAATGACGAATCAAAATCTGAGAGCAGGGGTCTGCTATCAAGATCACAAATAACTCATGGAGAGCATCCTTTGAGCCTTGGGAAAAGCAGTGTCTGGAATCAATTCTTCCAAGTACGTTCTTAGACTCGTTGGAATGATGAGTTTCTGGAAGCCATACTTCATCTCATATTTTCAAACTTCTAATCTTGAATGTGTTAAATGTAAACAATATATAAAATTGTTTATTCTTGTTTGAATTAATTAAGTTTTAGAACATGAGCCAGTGTTTCTTTCTTTCTTTTTTAGGCCAGAAAACATGAGCCAGTCTAGTAGTCTTCATGTTAGCTACTTCTGAGCCATTTTGCACAACAGGCAGCCTTGGAGAAATTTAGCTTTGCAGTATCTATCATGTACCTTTAGTTTTTAGTTTACCAATAATAACTTCTATGGCACTAGAATTTGGATCTTTCAATTATTTTTAACGACTGGGATTTAGTATTCATATTGTTAATGTTGTTTAGCAATGTAGTAGGAAAGACAACAGCATGTAAACTTCCTATTGATGGAAGCCCTAACCTAAGTTAAATGAGGGGGAGGGGATAGCACAATCCATGCTAGGGGCGAGTAAAACTCGATTCAACTAAAAAATGGTTTTTTCCTTCAAATTTCGAGTTATTCGAGTCAACTCAAATTTTGAGTTGAGTTATTCGAGTCAACTCAAATTTCGAGTTTGAATCGTAAAATAGGACTCGTCAACTCGACCAAATTCTCGCCCCTAGTCCATGCAACTGAACCAACTCTGTTTCCATCATTTGCTTAGTTGAGCATACTATAGCTGAGTATTATTTCAAATGTTCTTATTCTAGAGTATATGTGACAGCAATGTAAAGGAGTTCAAATTTTCAGTTGTTAGTAGAGTCTATGAAGGGAGATTTTATTGATCTCAAACTTTCTTAATTTTTATTTCCGGGGCGGGGGTATTTGTAGGACTCGGAAATCATAGAACAGATTGACAGAGATGTGATGCGCACTCATCCAGACATGCTCTTTTTCTCTGGGGACTCACAGCTTGCAAAATCTAACCAGGTAAGCATCTTATTTTCTTTTACTCTTTCGTGTGAATTTATTGTTTCGCTCTTTTTTCTTAAGTTTGGATATGAAAAGAAATAATTTTTTACTTATATGCATCTTGCTTATTCAGGATGCATTGAGAAACATATTAATTGTTTTTGCCAAGTTAAATCCGGGTATAAGATATGTTCAAGGGATGAATGAAATCTTGGCACCTCTATTTTATGTATTCAAGAATGACCCTGATGCGGAAATGGCTGTAAGATCTTACCATCCCTACCCAGTTCTTTTATGTTAAATCTCTAACATGCTTGTGTTTGTCTTTATCTGTATCCCAGGTTTTGTAAAAAAATTACATACTAAAGTATAAAGAATACGATTAAGCGTCTGTTTGGTGTCATTCCCATTTAAACCTTTGTTCATATGCAAATCCATCCATTTTATTGCCTCAAGCAACCCAAAGGCTCTGCGTGGTATTGAAAAGCTTGAAGATGAAAAATTTATTAATCTAATGGTGAAGCATCAAAATATACCAAGCAGAGCCAAAAAAATTGTAACAAATAAAACTTTCAAATAGATTGCAGCCTTTTGGAAACAATATGGTGATGTTCTTATATCATTATTATTATCAACTTCGCGGACACATATATGTCATATGCACCAAAATGTATAGTACATATGCCAATAGATAGCCATAGAGAATAACATAGATAAATTTCTTTGTTATTATGATTTATGATCGAAGTATCGGTTAAGTATTTTCTTCAACATTTTCCATATTCTAAGTCTTGCAGGCTGCTGCCGAAGCCGACACTTTCTTTTGTTTTGTTGAGTTATTGAGTGGATTCCGTGATCATTTCTGCCAGCAACTTGACAACAGCATTGTGGGAATTCGTTCCACAATCTCTAGGTTGTCACAACTTCTGAAGGAACATGATGAAGAGCTTTGGCGGCATCTAGAGGTCACAACTAAAGTAAGATATCAGTGCAAAATTCAAACCAGCTTCTTTAGCTAATGGATACTTTCTTTGCATATCGTCCTCGTCATCTTTTATTTCTCGACTCACGCTTTCCTCTTACCAGCAAGCTGCTACAACCCCTTCAGCTTTGTAATTTTCTGCTTCTTGTCATAGTAATTAGTATGGCTTAAATGTAACCGTTGTGTACGCATATCACAGGTCAATCCCCAGTTTTACGCATTCCGATGGATCACTCTGCTCTTGACACAGGAATTCAATTTTGCGGATAGCCTTCACATATGGGACACGCTTCTTAGTGACCCTGAAGGTCCTCTGGTATGATTACAAATTTAACCTCTCTTACCTCTAGAATTTGTGCTCAAATCTTGTCCGTTTGCTGGCTCAATTATTCCAATTATTATATAATTATGTGCCTAAAAAATCCTTAACGATATAACTTGTAAATAAATACTTTAACCTTTAACGTACACCCGAAGCTTTAATTTATACTTGAGCAACACCTTAACATAAATCAACATTTCTCTTGAAAATTAAGGTTTGCTTGGGTTCGCATCTAGGGATAGGTATAAGAAAGAACATAAACAAAGCTGTTAGATTAAGTAGCTTTTTTAATAGTCTCAATTGACAAATAGGTGTCGAAACTAAACCTCTTTTTGCTCTAAGTCTAATGTTTCATTTTGTTATCATGTTAAGGTAGAACCATTAACATCTGTTAAAAATCTGTCACCCAATGATTGTATGACATGTGGCCTAGTTTTTTATTTTCTTTATTTTTTTAAGAACCCTAGAATCCTTAATTTTCAAAATACCTAGAATCCCTAAATTTTTACAAAACCCTAGAATACCTAAATTTCGTCTGCCACTGTGGAATCAACTATCACCGTCCACGGTGTCCACCCTTTATGTCATTGGACTCCCACTCCCCACTCTTCTGTCGCTGTAAATTGACTAATGAGGTGACACAAATTAATGAAGAACGATGGTAGGTGCCATGAAGGACAAATGCGGCGGAAGGATGAGAGGTGTTGTGAACTGGGCTTTGCATTTAGAGGAGACTTCATTGCTGCGGCAGTGGCCTGAAGTTTGGCGGCGGTAGATGGGATCTTAGGGATTTTTTCAGAAATTATAAATTTTAGGATTTTTTATTTTGAAGAGATAAAAGGTAATTAAATTGTCATGTGTCAAGTAATAATTGGGTGTTGGGTTTTTAACGGATTTTAACGATTCGATCTTAAAATGATAACATAATGAAATCTAAGCATCTACTCTGAACAGGGAAAAAAACTTGAGGCATTATATATCGAAAAAGAGATATAGTTGATGCA